GGCGGCGACGCGCGCACACTCGAGGCGCTGGGCCCCGTCCACGGCATCGTCAACAACGCCGGCGTGGGCTTGCAGGAGCCGTTCATGGAGGTGCGGCCGGAGAGCATAGACGCCATGTTCGACATCAACCTGAAGGCGGTGGTGAACGCGTCGCAGGTGGTGGCGCGCGGCATGCTCGCGCGCGGTGAGGGCGGCGTCATCGTGAACATGTCGTCGCAGGCGTCGCAGCGGCCGCTGGTCGACCACGCCGTCTACAGCGTCGTCGAAGGCGGCGCTGGACCAGCTGTCGCGCGTCATGGCTGGAGCTCGGGCCGCAGGGGATCCGCGTCAACTGCGTCAACCCCACCGTCGTGATGACTGACATGGGGCGACTCGGCTGGTCGGAGCCGGCCAAGGCGGAGCCGATGCTGCGCGCCATCCCGCTCGGCCGCTTCGCCGAGGTCGAGGACGTGGTGGACGCGGTGGTGTTCCTGCTCAGCGACCGGGCCAAGATGATCAACGGCGTCCGACTGCCGGTGGACGGCGGGTTCACCGCCTGCTGAGGACGCAGCTGCTGCTAAGTAGGCTCGGCAGACGACCTCCTGTTAGACAGAAGTGGACAGCTCCTGTTGAGCTGTTGCTGAGGAGCCGGCTATGTCTCTGCTGAGCTTCTGCTGAGGAGGCAGCTATGGCTCCTGCTGAGCTGCTGCTGAGCACGCGGCCGCAGCTCGTGCTGAGCTCCTGCTGAGCAGGGCGGCCTCAGGTGCTGATGAGCGGTGGTTGATGCTGGGGACTGATCGAGGGACGGGAGGAGCTGCTTAAGAAGCCTGCAATAGCTTGGCGTAGACGTCTTCGTTTATAACAGACACGCATGCTCGGAAAACACATCTGAAAGGAATTATGTACAGTGCGTAAAATGCATCACAGAATTTCGATAGTGGGTCGCATTGCTTGTCCTTAAGAGAAGGCATGAATTATCGGTAGCTGATGGCGACAAATCATTGTGCTGTATGTCATACGCGTCCTGAATTAGATATGCATCCCGATTTCAGAACGTTTGTTTTAATGCTACTGAAGTGTATCCGATGAATATGGTACAGGTTTTATCACGTACTCATCGCTCCTGATGACCGCTATAACTGTTGTGTCATTTGATGGCATGTCATTGTGTTGAGGTACTTCGATGCCCCTGAGGCTTTTATTTGTTACGTGGGCCGCAAAGAAAACTTACCAAAGTGTCGGCGCGAGCCACGTGTTTGTTACGTGCGCATTGGGCCCACTCTGCAGGAGATTCTGAAGGCATTATGTTTCAGCGGGATGGTAGAAGATTGATTATGTAGTGCTACCGAGCTTTTACTCAAATAAAAGGGTGCTGGATACAAACGTGTTTAACACGCCCGGGCGGGCCGGTTGGGTACCCTTCGCTTGGGGTGGGGTTCGGTTTGGCCCGCTGAGATACCATGAACTAAGAGGGATAGAGACACCAAATTCCCAGGGTATGCTTGCCTGTACGTAAATTCACTTGGGTCAAAGTTTGTTCACGTATTCTAATTCTTAGATAGGCACTGTATCGTGTTAATGGCTGGCACTTGCTCCTTTTTAACCCCCTGAATGTTGGTGTCCCGTAAGAATTGTCGCTTGCCGTTTTAAAAAAAAAACCCTGAAAAATCGAGCAGGATCGTCAACAGGCAATTTTGAATTTGCTTCCGCTTTTGTATCGATAGGGGCATGTCGACGAAATATCAACCCAACCTTATCTCCATTCTCTTGCTTTTTCTCCGAGCAATAAGACTACTCTCTTATCGAAGTGTATAATGCTCCTCGCTATTGCAGTGAGCAACTTACGCAAGACTGCCTTGAGCTTTACATTTGAATCAGCGACAAAGATAATTCCTGTCAGCATGTTCCCAAAAGCAACATGTTGACCCGCGTCATTTTAGGTCAGCGACCTACTCTGACCATAAATAAGTTCATGGAAGATGTCTAATGGGGTTCCTGCTATCAATAATTTAAAATGGACACCAGAAGCTATCCCATACAGCAAGCCATAGAGAAAATAAAGCAAGTTGGCATAATAATGAAGCAAAGAAATAAAGCAAGCAAAGCAAAGAATAAAGCAATAAAGCAAATAAAGCAAATAAAGCGACCAGACGTCTTTCATAGCCAATGTCGGCCGGCCCGGTCCCCGCCCGCTCCGCCACAGAATACGGGCACGAAGCCAAGCTTCCTCATGGAATGACGCCGGTCACGAAATGCGGTGTGCCGACCTGGCGCTACCGGTGCGCAACGCCGCCATCCCGGTGCTCCCACCAAGCGCGGGCGCCGGTCGCCGGCGCGGGGTCCGGCCGCTGCCAACCCGCTAAGAAACAAGCCGCCGGCCAGGTGCCCACTCCCGCCTGGCTAACACAACGGAAACGCTATCTGCAGCCGCCACGACACGGCACGGCACGCGGCACGGTGGGGCGGCGCCAAGTCGGGCCGGCCCGGGCGCTAGTCCTAGCCCTCCTCCGCCTCCATGGTGGCCGGCTGCTGGTTGTAGCCGGCCGCCGCGCCGCCCATGCAACCGGCGCCGCCGCCGAACTGCGGGCGCACGAGCCAACAGTCAGTCAGAGGCCGGGCGTCACCGGACGCGCCGTGACCTGAGCCGATCACACCACTACACCAGGCTGGCGAGTTCACATAAATCAATACGGGACAACGCGGCTGGAGCACAGCGGCGAAATCCAGGAGTAAACCCTCGCGAGCCCCAAACTGACAGTCAGAGCTTCCTCGTCAGGACGATACTGCAACGTAGTTTCCGTTGCAGTGTAGGAAATGTGCGTTACCTTATCGGCAACGTTGCCAATTCTGGGGCACGAAATAATGTCGCAGGAGTAGAATTGACACTGGGTAGAACTTGGCTTCCGCACACGAGTCGTTTTCTCTCTCGTCTGATCATCTAGCGGCCGCCGTTCCACTTAAGAATTATCCTGGGTAAGGAGTAACTGACATAAGCAGAGATAGCGCACAGTGTCGCAATGTTGCTCGCCACGAGTACCATGAATGCACCCTGTCGGCGCGTTCCTCCCGCCACCCCGCGCCAGTCACGTCCCCGCCGCACCGGCCAGACTCACCCCGTGCCGGATGTCGCGTGACGCGTACGAGCCGCCGGCAGCGCCGCCGAAGTCGGCGCTGCCGCGTCGCGCTGCAGGAAGTCGGGCACCTCCTGCTCGGCGCCGGCCAGAACCTTCACCAGGTCGGCGGCCAGCGCGCTGTCGTAGAAGCCGATGGCGCTGCCGGTGTTGCCAACGCGGCCCGTGCGGCCGATCCGGTGCACATAGTCGTCGATGGCCTTCAGCAGGTCGTAATTGACCACGCTGGCCACGTCCTTGATGTCTGGGGGAGGGGCGTCGGTTAGCCAGGGCTGCGCCGGGTCATGCGGATGCAGTGGGAACAGTATCAGGCATGTCGCAACAGTCTACTTAACATAACCAACAAATAACAAACTACTACCAACGAATTAATCTCTGGTAAACGTTGTGCTAATGCAAACTGGATCAGGTTTCATTGTTGGATCGGGGACTTTGCTTACCCCTGCTTACTTTTGTTCCGACCTTTTCTGACATTAACATGGATTAACTCCAAACGCAGGTACAATAATTGCTCATGGGAGGACACAACAGCTCGACCTCTGCTTGATGAAAATTTCCCGACGACGCCTGATCACGACGCGCCACACAACACGCCTGGCATCCAACCACGCAGCGGTTCGCTTTCGGCCGACGAGCGCACGAGCCCGCCGACATGAACGGCCTCGGGGCGGCGGCCCCTCAACCGGGGCCGCGCGAGGCCACCGACGGTGGCGATTCAGGCGTCGGCGTCTTTGCCGTACTTGAAGTCAGCCAGCGCCTCCTCGCGCTCGCGCTGCAGCCGGTCGCCGTGGATGCTGGTGGTCGGGAAGCCGGCCTGACACAGGTGCGACGCGATGAAGTCGGCCACCCGCTTCCGCCCCACGAACACCTGGCGAGGGGCAGGCGAGGTCAGACGGCGGCACGGTCGCGCGGCGGCCGCGGCCTCACGGCTGAGGGTTGCCCATGGACCCGGTCCAGGTCGCGCTCGGTGCAGCAAAAGATAACGAGCGGTGGATGGAAACATCACTGTTCGACTAGGCTCTAGGCTTAATGCTTCAGCTTATGAAGGTCATATGCATTATTAGAGGAGGCTGACTACAGTCCGCGAAGAAATTTACTGAGCCTTAATGACAAGCTGAATACCCATAACTGCCGTTAACTAGCATTGGGCTGGCTTGAAATCAGCAGTGTTGAAGTTGTTTTGGTCTCACTAGCAGGATCTTAGCTCGGCTCGTACATTACCTCACGACAGCGACACGCGCGCGCGCGAGCGGCCAGATTACCACTGCTCCGTGGGTTCGGGCACGAGTCAGCTGATGATCCGTCAACTGGTCTGACGGGTCACATGACCCGGCGCCGGGAGGCCTATACCACAACAGAAATTGTTACATTTATGTTATCAATTCTTCTTAATAAAGAGATCTGCACATCATTAGAAGACATTACTAACATCGGCGAATGAAACGTCCGTAATGTACTCGGCATGGCCAAGTGCGCAGCGTCTCCCGTGTCGCCATCGCCACCCACATTGTCGCCTCCGGCGTGCCCCTTTCGCCATCGCCACCACCAGGTTCCCACAGGTAGCTGTAGTGAAATGAAGCACTGCTTAAAAACGCAAAACAGGGGAACCACATATGAACATGACTGAAAGCTGCGGATTTATTTTCAACCCACGACTATCATACAGATGGCAAACGCCATTTACAGGCTCGGAATTAATTGCTGATGCCTTATTAAATTCACACGTCCAGTAAGGTAGTAAGGTGCAGCATGTTTGGAATAACTCACGTCGTACTATAAAGATCTTTGAGATACGAGAACATTTGCATAGAAAAATGGGTTATAGCCTCTTCCTTATAGGCTAAGGCACCACTGTAAAACAATCATAGCCAAGTGCTGTACATACAAGCAGTGCTCCTGAATTTGTGTGCACGCCGCACGGTTGCAAGGCTGTGTAGTCTAAACAGCACTCTGCTGCCTGAAGAAACAAATGGTTACCCTTTAGCAAGATGCAGGATGGTACACTTGACTGTTGGTGGGCCAGCCTTTCGCATCGCGCGTCGCAGGATCATGTACGTGCTGCTGGATACCACCAGCTTCTTGCTTGTTGCCGATCGTCGGGAACATAACACAGTGTGAAATGGAAATTGTAATAGACTGTAGATGTGGAGTTATACCTATGACGATGACTGCAACAACTAAGGTGGGGGACTTATTGGTAACTCCACTCTGGCTTTAGAGCACAGGAGCAAACAAGCTGCAGTAATGTTTTATACAGCATTGTCCATACAATACTACATGAAAGTGTGCAATTTTGCTAATAAGTCAGATTTCAGGCTGTGTAGTCCCTTTAGTAATTTAGGTGTTTCATGTGGTCCTTTAAGTCCCTGTAGGTCTCACAAACGTCTTTGTGTTTGGCACGATATGGTCATTACAATACAATGTCAATAGCAATCTTCATTGCAAATTTAATCATCTTTATGCCATTACTTAATGCAGTTTGCAGTATAATTGTTGTGAAACAAATTCCAATCTCCTTGTTCAAGAAGTAACTAACTTTGAAAATCCAACCCCAAAAGAAAACACTGACCCAGATTCTGGTCTTCGAGATGGTGTAGACACGGGAAGCACTGGGGTGCCTGTAACACCCTTCCTGTGCTGAAAACAATTCGGGACACCAATAATCAGAATCAGAAAGATTAACAATGAACAAAGCTGTCACCACAATGTACAGGTCATAGGACAGCGCTTTGACATGTGCACTAAGTATATTGCAAAACAATGTTTTACTTACATCATATACATTTTGGTCAGAAATGACTGCGGCACACTGACATGCATGAATAAATAATGACTGAGAGGTCATGGAATTGAAAAAAACAAAAGGTGGTCATAGAAATGTCACATGTGTTCTAATTTCAAATGAGTTCAAGCCTGAATGTCACGGCTAAATATAAAGTGTCTGACAAAAAAATAAAGAAAGAAAACATAGGCATTCACAGACCTGCAGAGAGGGCACAGCATTGGCCCCAAGCCTTTTCGTTTAGGCTGCCAGGCTGGAAAAGGCATGTGATGGAAAATGTGCCTGGCACACTCCATGCCCCGGCCTGACCCCACTGATACCACACACATGACGCCATTCCTGTTGGTGGCCTTGTTGTGCTGGGAATCTGAAAGGATCACAGGAATTGGGAGAGAATTGATTACTATACAATACAATGGGCATCTTCTACTTCAAATGAGTAATGCAAACTGAAAATATCTGTCCACAGGGTGTGCATTAATCACTGTGCAAAGTGGTGATACATCAAGAGTACAGACTACAGACATCTGGGTTCCAGAGCATGTCTGACACATTTTGAAATGCTTGTCATCCCAAAAATAAGTAATACAAGCTGAGGCCACACACCCATAAACTTTCCCAGCTGTGAGCATGGTGCATAACTGTCACCAAATCTAGTTAAGAGTAAGTAAATTTAGCTTTTAAAAAAGTGGCAGCAGCATAGCAATACCCAAACAATAATGTCATTGCCGGAATATGACAGCTCAGAGCTCAGCCCAGTGCAAATCTGATTACGGCACAGAGTCCAGTGATAAGTTGAGCACACTGATGATTCCTGTAATCTGGAACAATGGAATAGTTTTTGACTGATATCCCTGATTCCGGCCCTGACTGACAAAATTCACACTGTTCATGCAAGTTTATGCAGGTCATCTGTTTATGAAGTGGTTACATCGAATAGCCAAGGTGTAGCTCCATGACAGCAGCGAGATAGGTGGGCAATGGAAACAAGTACGATGATGATGATGATGATTTGGGCTTTAGGGAGTGCCAACTACATTGCTCATGTGACGCCCATAACTCACTGATGCAAACAGGTAAAAGTATTTGAACTTACTCAAAAACGTAATAAATCAGCTACTCGCCAATGTGCTATACAACGTCCTCCACCAACTTGGTCCTAGCCAATTACTCTCAAAATTAATAGTTTGTATGTTTCGTTTGTAGCAATCAAGTACATAAAGAAAACTATTTCTGAAATTGGTGGCAACCGTGAGCCCAGCTCCTGGCACTTGCACCCACTTTTCAGCTGCTGTATGCATCTGCTTTTTGAAGACGCTGTTTTATTTGTGAAGGCATTTTTGCCGGCATTTTTAAAGGCACTTTTGCCATTTTTGCGGGGCGCGTCCGGCCGGCAGATACTCTCGTAAAATTATCCGGAATATCGGAAATTTTTCGGAATGACGTTCGGCAGTGCCATAGCGAGGGAGAATCCCGGAGAATTCTCAGAGCATGGTCAAGACGGAGAATCTGTTTTCGCCAGCCATGACCGTTGGCTGTGAATGGCGCATGGGAAACTAATCTGGGGGATAATTTCCGGACCGATCGAGTGTAAATGGAACATCTCCATGGATGATTATCGAAGAGATTATTATTCGTTGAATAATTTTCGCTTGACCGGACGCGCCGTGATTGCATACTCATTCCTCAAACTGTGACAACAAGCGACCGCACCGCATGGAAAGCGACCGCACACCATACTCGAGGCTGCATGTCATATTGAGACGTGCATGCCCTGAACTATTGCTGAGATGTCAGTGACACGATAGACATATTCGGCGTGAAGTATCTTTAACAGATTGGAAGCGAGGTACTTACGCGAACACGGTCAAATTATTTTCTTTGTCCTGCGATCACCGCACACACAGCACCTTATGTCTGGCATCTACCACCGACGCAAAGAGGACACTGCCTGGGAGTGGGGGGGGGGGGGGGGGGAATGTCCTCTCGACAATGCCGCAACCCGAAATTGCTCACACTTATGTTCGCGATACGTATTCAGCAGTACAATCTTGATAACAGCCAACCACCTTTCGCGCATTGTAACACATGTGCAGCATCATCGCATTTGCGAACGAATCAGCCGCCGTACGGTTTTTATCATACAACAAAACACAAACAAAAAAACAAACAATAATATCACGGGTATCTAATGGCGTTTCTATGGCATCATTAATCAGAGGGCTATTTTGAAATAGGGGAATTATAAGGATTTGACACTTTGCGGTCGTGTAACTCAGGAACCAAATCGTTTCGGGTCTTAAAAATGACATGACCGTAAACTGCATCAAAAGGTCGTCAAGATGGCTATTTCAGTTCAAAACGTCATACAAATGTGGAACATTCCCTTCGACGAAAGCTATCAGCCTACCGCAAACAGTCCCCGCGCCACTCTGTAAAGTATGTGCAAAGAAACCACAAAATATCAGTGAAGTGATGCATGTGCCAGGACATGACGGTGGGTTCGTCCGCGCAGATGCAGGCTTCAGGATTCCCGTGGTTTGTGGTCAGCCAACTGGCTGCTGCGGCTTCCAAGTGGAGTCTGTGGCCTCCGGAGCTGCGGCCACAGAATACAAACCGGCCCACAAAATTTACAAATTAATAAAACATGTGGTGCCCCCCTAAAGCACGAACATCTGTGTTATCTCAGCGAATGTCTCTCTTTGTGTGAGGGACGGTCGGACTCGCCGAGCAGTTATCTGGTCGGGACAGTGGGACTCGCCGAAGGATTATATGGTCGGGACAGTGTCAAATGTCCCTGACGTCTGGGTGGAACATGACACTTTTTCATTGTTTTTATGCATTCTCACACTAGCTTTTCTTTCATCCTCTCCACCTCAACACCAGTAAAATCAATAAACATTTTTCTGGCTACACCATTAAGTGTTATTTAGAACTTGACAAAGGATTTGGCCCGTGGGTAACGTTTCCCACCTTTGGTGTGGGCAATGTTTGCATCATGCGATGCATTCAATGGCTACAATCTGAACTGATTTTCCAGGTGACCCAAAAGAAGAACCAGAGTCTATCCTTCATTATATCCTGCATCATGCAAAATGTCATCTCTAGGAAAAGGAGAAGGTGATGGCTACTCTCTGAAACTATCATGCTGTGCATCTCGCATGCCTTATCCTGTCTGTAATTGACCTGACCTGGTCTGTGCATCATGATATAATCCTAAGGCCCCATGCGTCCTCTTGTAATTTGTGGCGGTTTAAAATGAGCTACATGCCCACAGAACATGTATTTGCATCAGGCTCATATACAAAAACATACTAAAACTGAACGATATTTGATGACAATAATGCAGCAAGCATTGATAAATTCCATCAGCATGGAATGAGGCTGGAAGCTGCAACTTACATGCTTACTGCATATCCAACATCATTGAAATGTTCTATTACACCACACGGCCAGTGGTCATGGCGACACAATCACACCGCAAGGCAATGACAGGAGTGTTAATTATTTGGAGACAATTGCAACCAGTCAAAATGCAGTATAACCTCAAATGCGACTGTGATTAGACGCACCGGTCTATTTATAACATGCCTTGATTCGTCTACAACCCACCGATCTCCAGCTACGCTCAAACCCAAGCGATGTACAAAAATAAACAAATCGCGATCGTAACACGAGCGCCAGATTAGCCTCTGATAGTTTCATCGTCACCGGCAGCGAGATGCCGATTGCCACCCTAGGGATGTCAATTGCCACCCTAGACGCGGCACTGGCTTGCGTCTGTCAGCAGGAACGGATGAAGTTCTTAGGCATATGAAACGATATCTGGAAGTTTGGTTAGGTAGTCCAGAAAACTTGAGTCAAAATGATTGTGCTTTCATATGTTCATTTGCCTTTCTCACCACATTACATTTATTCCATGCATTTTTGGCGGTTTCCGGCGTCATTTTCTCCAGATGGGTAGCGGCCCATTTTAAAGCTGCTCTTTGCGGCTTAGATGACCGAACGGAAGCCAACTTCAGCTGAAATACTAAAATTTTACCCAAATGATATACCACGGAGCATGAAAAACCGTTTAAGTAGTGTTTTTGTCCTAACTTTTAATGCAATTGGGGATGTATCTATTTTCCATTCGTCACTGCTGCATTAAGGTCTCACCCAAAACTCCATCACAGGTTTTTTCGGCTATCTGACCGTCGTTTGTAAAAAACTAGTGGTCAAAGAAAGCGCACCACTGTTATCTAAAAGTCTATGAAATATCAAGTTGATCTATGCGAGTTCCACATTGACTTAAGTATCGTGATGTCAAAAGGATGTGAATTGAGGATGCCGATTCGGTGATTTTTTTATTCAGCAGCACTGGATGCGACCGGGAAAAAAACGCGGGGCGCGCGTTGAACGGACGTATAGATTTGTGTGTAGTGCTGGATGGGTGAAGGTATAGCGTTTGATTCATTCAATGTGCACCTTGGATAACACAGCCCGGCAGGTGCCTGATGATCTCGATGATTTGGAAAACCAGATACAATGTATAGTGTCCACACATGACTGCCCAATAGTGATCGCCGGTGATTTAAACATCAACCTGATTGGCTCGAGCACAGGCACTGGCTATCAGAAATTGATGCAACTGTTGAGGTCTTACAATCCGCATATGTGTGACGATTCCTATCCAACGTGCCGTCCTGCTGGCTCGCTGTTGGATGTTACGATCACAAATCACAAGGACCTTATCCAGCGCTGTGGTGTCACCGCCTGTCACTATAGTCCGCATGACTTCACGCGAATGTTGCTGAAAGTATCGAAAGAGAAACACCAAATCAATGTCATCACATCCCGCTGCCTGAACCTAGTTGATTTTGATTCTTTCAATGATTTGCTTGTGAACGTCGACTGGTCTCTGGTCTATGCAAGTGCGACGACGTCTGAGAAGTGGGACTCTTTTCTAGGAGTGTTCACACCCCATCTGAATGCCGTCGCGCCTGTCTGGCGCATTAAACTGCGCAATCAATCCACCCTGCCTGTCTCAGCCGATACGCGTGTGTTGGTGGTTCGTCGCCGCGTCGCTCTAGCGTGCTGTTCGCGTGCTGAGTACAAGGCACTCAATAAGCAGACACGGGCAGTTATTAGACGGGACTGTAGCGATCATACCAGGAAGCAGATTTCCGAGGCAGGTCACTCCGGCATGTGGCGGTGCGTTAAATCGATCATTGGCAGTAAACAGGGTGCGTCGGCCACACCTAACATTCATACTGATACTCTGAATGACTGCTTCGTGAAGGTAGGGCCTACGACTGCCGCCAGCGGGCCGAACCGAGGCACGGCTTTGCCAGTCAGGCCCCCCGAGTTATGACCTTCTCATTTAAGGTGCGTCCTGTGTCATGCGATGAGCTGCTTGCAGCTATGTCTACGATGAAACCCGACGACGTCCTGTGGCCTAGATGATCTTAGTACGCAGCTCTTACAGAAGTCTTTTCGTGGTGTCGGCTGTCCCCTACTTGACGTCGTCAATAGCAGTCTCATTGACGAAACGGTGCCCAGCGCCTGGAAACACGCTCTTGTCACAGCGCTCCCGAAAACCAATGATTTGAACGATCCTACCCAGTTTAGACCAATATCTGTAGTGCCAGCGATAGCAAAGATAGTCGAGCGTATTGTTCATCATCAACTTAGTTCATATTTTAACGAGCATGATTTATTTTTGCATACACAACACGGATTTCTTACGAATTTTTCAACAGAGACCGCACTTACTGTAGTGGCTGATGAAATACTCACCGCGATTGATGCTGGGGAGATCGCTCTGCTTGTTTTGATAGATCTGTGAGAATGTTTTGACGTTTTGGACCACCAGCTTCTCTTATCGAAGCCTAAGATATACAATATTGACACAAAATGGTTTGAAAGCTACCTTTGCGGGCATACCCAACAGGTTCAGGTCAGATATTCTTCAGGCATACTGCGCGCTTTCATACTGCCGAATGGGATGGGGGTATTTCAGGGCACCGCCCTCGGGCGGCTCCCATCTTCCATTTTCTCGAACGATTTGGCGTTATGTTCAGAAGGTGCTACAATTATACAATATGCTGATGACACACAGATTTTGGGTACTGGAGAAAAAGGAAACGCAACAGCTTGTTGCAACCTTGGAGAGTACCTTGTCACTTGTATTCGACTGGTTTAACAACCACTCTATGAAAGTCAATACAACAAAAACACAGTTAATGGTTTTCGGGACGAAGGCTGTGCTGCGTCATATGCCTCCTGTGCATGTCAAGTTCGGGTCAGCTGTCATCGCCGAAAACAGCTCTGTCAAAAACCTTGGTGTGGCGATGGACAGAAATCTCACATTTGAACCGCACATTGATCAGCCTGTTACTAGGTCGATGGGCGCTCTGATGGCCCTGTCCCATGCCAAGCATGTACTCCCAAGAGACACCCTCGTGTACATGGTCAGAGCTCTAGTTCTTTCCTCCATTAGATACTGTATAACACTGTGTGGTACTCACGGAGCAACCTAGTTCCATCGCGTGCAAAAACTCGTGAACTTCTGTGCGCGGGTTGGGAGCGGAAGGAGAAGGTGTGACCATACATCGGATGTTGTCAGGGATATACGATGGCTTAGTGCTGATCAGCTCGTCAGATATCATAAGTTGTGCCTGCTCAAAAAAGTCTTACTCACGGGTCAGCCACCAGATATAGCCGCGATGTCCACACGTACTGAGCACACTCATGAAACGCGGAAGGCTAACCAGCTGAGCCGCCCCCGAGCGGTGAGCAACTTTGGCACTCGCCGATTTAGCTACAGAGCATCGGATCTGTTTAACTGCCTGCCGCCCGACTTGCGCAACGTTCAGAGTCTAGGTCGCTTCAAGCGCCAACTTAAGGAGTTTCTAATGAGTCAGGCGAACGTTGGCACATGAGTGGGTGCGTGTGTGAATTCGATTGTGTGTGATGCCACAATGTGAATGCAATAGTGTGATTCGCCGAGATGATCCCTTGAGCGATGCGTGATATGTTGGCTATTTTTACTAGCTTTCACATTTTCTCTTATATGCCCGTTTTTATCAATAATGACGTGTAACTTTTAAAAAGCCACTGGGTCTTGTGGAAAGCTACGAAATATATGAACATGAACATGAACATAGCCTCTTGCAATTTGGTGAAATTTGATGTTAGCCATATGGACACCGTTGTAATGTTACTAAATTAAAGCTGCTGATACTCCTATAACATGAGAGAGGTGTTAATAGGATAATTGTAAAACTATGTCTCTGTATGAATGTGTGTTATTCAGTGCCTTTTTATTTTATGTAAAACACTTTTCTTCGGAGAAAGAACGTCATGTCGGCCACATCCTGAATATTGCTCGCCAGATTAAGTTAGGCACTGAGACGTGTTGTCTCGGGTATCTGGTGCATGATAGTCCTGATAGTCCTGATAGTCCGGATAGTCCTGATAGTCCTGATAGTCCTGATAGTCCTGATAGTCCTGATAGTCCGGATAGTGCCTGAGTCGCAGCACTTATCAATCAATCGCCTTTTTCACCCGAACCAAGTTATGAAGGTCATTCGCGAAGAGAAACGGGATGTCATTGCCCAGCAGAAACACAGAACAACGGTTTCAGGATGCCATGTATGTAAATGGCGCATCATAAGCACTTCTTCAAAGATGACCAGAATTCAGGATCAGGATTCCGCCAGTCTCTTTCAGAGGAAGAATGTGATGCGATGGTGTTTTCGTGGTGGTCTGGAAAGGAAAGGAATCACAGATTAGCGATAAATGCTTGTCCGTCCGGCATGACACCTTTGGTCCATATTGAATATATATATATATATATATATATATATATATATATATATATATACATATATATGGTCCATATATATATATATATATATATATATATATATATATATATATATATATACCTGAGCGGATGTTGATATGACAATAAATGCGTCTTTACAAGAAGTTCGACGAAAAATATGAACATCCTTATGTGTGTTATTTACAGGTTGTCGTACGCTGTCATTTCAACGGTGAAATTGCTATTTTTTAAGGCCCGTTTTAATATCAGATATCAACATCCCTTTAAGCTTTTTTACGTCCGTACATCCTACAAGCGGATTTTGAAAGACTAGGTCGGGATGGCGACCATGGCCCGCGAGTTGGAGGTCGATTAGATCGCCTAATCCTGCGTTGGAATGGAATGTATGGGTCCACTGGCGGCAGGTCTTCCTGCCATTCCGACTTCACCGCCAGTTGCACGTGTACGCGTGACTGGAAAATTGATAACTTGTGTGCAGTAGCAGCAGAATATCAAGACTGAAACCAGCCTTTTTATTTTGTCCGGTATTGGACCATGCGGTTGGTCTGGCTCGTTTTGTCTCGATGTTGATGATTTTCCGGTTAGCCCATCCTGAACTGCACCAAAGCAAATGTCTGTCGTTGTTTGTTGTCAAAGATTTGGCTACGCTGTCAAATACCACGTGGACCATGCTTTACACTATTCGAGCCACATACACCTCAGCGGAAGGAGTGTTTCGTGTTCGCTGGTTCCCATCCGCTCCCCTGTATGGCCACAGCCACGTGTGTCAGCAGCGTCGCGCGCTACTAGTGTGCCCTGGTCAGTCGTCAGGCGGGCTTGCAGCGGCGGCGGAGCTAATCGGCTTGGCATGCGCCGATGGTTTGCGGTTGCTCTGTGGCTGCTTCATCCGCATTGGTCCGTCGGTGAAGCCTGGGGATGGACCGCCAAATTTCGGCGCGAAAGCGCCCGGATATCCCTGAAGTCAGCTCCAGACCACTGAGCGGACAGTTGTGTTTATTAAACACGAGCCGTCTCGTGTAGCGTGTATGGGGTCTCTGGTATGACCCCAGACACGCTAAAGACACAACTCTGGTATGGTAAGGTATCTAGACACTGGTACGGCCCCACTCACTGGTATGGCCGTGTACTGTGCGTAAAAACAACTGGGGATTTTACGTCGAAAGCGGCAGGACAGGCTGCACTACCAGGACGTTTTGTGGACCACGGTGGGAGAGGAAAAGCGAGAGAACTGATAGAACATTGATGGAACACCAAAACGGCTGACGTGATGATGTGTCACGGTCCGTCGCAGGACCCTTAGGTCTGTGTCAGGGCCTATTGTGCGATTTCGTGGTCTGTTTCAGGGCAGGTTGTGTGATCCCGTGGCCTGTTTCAGGGCCTGTTTTGTGATTCCGTGGTCTGTGTCAGGGCCTATTGTGTGATTCCGTGGTCCGTGTCAGGGCCTGCTGTGTGATACCATAGTGGCTGTGTCAGGCCCTGTTGTGAGATTCCGTGGTCCGTGTCAGGGCTTGTTATGTGATCTCGTGCTTTGTGTCCGGGCCTGCTGTGTGATACCGTGGTTTGTGTCAGGGGCTGTCGAATGATCCCGAGGTCTGCATCGGGGCCTGTTTTGTGATGCTGCGCTCTGTGTCAGGGCCTGTTGTGTGATCCCTTGGTCTGCGTCAGGGCCTGTTGTGCGATCCCGTGGTCTGTTTCAGGGCCTGTCTGAGACCCTATGTTGTTTTTGCTTTGTAATGTCGGAGATTGTCGAATGGCCCGTGCTACGTTATCTGTAGTGTGATCGAGATGCCTTGTGTCATGACATAATCGCGCTGACGGCCGTGCACAGTGCGCGGAAACAACTGGGGATTCTATGGCGAAAGCGGTAAGACAGGCTACACTTCCAGGACATTTTGTGGACCACGGTGGGAGAAGAACAGTGATAGAACGGTTGCTAGATGACGGACATCCTCCTCAAAATATTGTCCGCAAGAACACAGATAGATTGCTGTTATACGCTGTTGTACATATTCATTCACAGAAGAAAATTAATGTCTACATTCATTTTTAGTTTACGGAAATTTTTATGACCGAAACGCCCTGGTAACGGGTGTCAGCTGCAGAACCGACCAGTGCTGCAGTCGAAGTAAATACGAAGGTATCGACATGCAGAGGCATCCACATCAGGACAGATAAAGCCATCCAGCGTGTGCTCTAGCCAGTATCAACTCGTTTTTAGCATTTGCACGATCCACATCATCTAATCAAACGGTAAAAGCTCATCACCTTCTTTGGTATGTCAAGGTGGATTTGCTTCTATCCGAGTCGATACATTGTCTAATTTGCCAATTTTAACATGCGTCGAGGTGGCCAGTTGAATGTGGCGTGCTCGGGTGGGGGGGGTGGGGGGGAGGGGAGGGGCACCATTTGGCCCCATGACACCTAGGCGACCTAGAAGCACGAAGCTCTGAGGAAAGGTGGAAAGGGCTGTATGTGAACTCACTTGTGTCAAAAATTGAGGTTGGAGTTTTAGGGCGCATCGACTGTTGTAGGTTACGCAGCTGTGTCAAACTTTGAGGCTCATGTGTCGTGATCTTTGAGTCAATTAAGACCAAACAAGGAAGATTTTAAATTGGTGCTCGAAGTGTCTTTAGACTTCTTTGACCAAATCAACTCCAAGAGGTGGCTTACCATGCTGAACAGAATTTTTGAAGGTACCGTAGCCAGATTACCCAGCAAATTAATGGTTCTGATGTCTTTTTTAGCCGAGACGCGATGATGAAAACCATTTCATGTGTTTTACAGCTTTGCATGTTTTTGGTACGCAACTTTTAACAGTTTGTTGAAGTATGTCTTCATCGCGTCAATTTTGTCTTTATTGATATTGTATCGGGAACCTCGTGCACTGAAACATTGATTTTGTTTCAATATACGGGACGACCGGATTTTTGCGTGCAGGGTGCTCGGATACCGGGGAGTTCACGCACGCAGTGGCGTTACACCAAGGACTTTTATGGGAATTCGTTAAATCTGTGTTCTAATTGTTTAGGAGAAATGTTGAGCATACCAAGATGCTGTGTGCTTGCTGCACGAACAGCCTTATGCGGACCAAATATATCGAGAGTGCCAAAGAGGTTGATGTCCGGTGCGTCTGGAATGTGTTGTTGAGTATGAATATGGTTGTTGATATCATTTACTGATGACAGTCATGGAAAAATCACTTGGACAATGTGTTGCAATATTTTATTTCCATGGAATTGACCTAAAGTGTCTGATAGTACTCTATGTTTCTGGAATACCTACTTAACTACTTTGTTATTTTAGTGTATTTTTGAACTACCACAGGTCACAGATCCAGTTGAATTTAAACATTTTTGCAACATGTACATTTTTTAAGATTTTCAGCTGGCCCAACTTGTTCCCAGTCGGAGAAGTCATGTTCATAAAGTCATCTGAAGTTGTTGGCAAATGTCATGCTGGTCAGTTTGTCATCCAAATCTAGTGTAAAAGCCATATTTTGTAAATGTAAGACAAGTTTATGTATGCCTTCTTATGATAATGAGTAGACATGCACCCAGAGACAGTTATTCTGTACCAGCCCCATTTTGTTCTTAACATTCATGAACAAAGCAGGGAGCAGGAAATGGGGTAGCACTAGCTGTAAGATATGTCACTTCTGTAGAAAATGCAAAGCAATGTCATGCCCATTGATCAGAGAAAACTTGCATCTCTGGCATCCTAGCCTTACCTTTTTAACTCTTCATATTGTTTGTGGTTTGTGCAGAGTTTACCATCCCAACAGGTTAGCACAAAAATAAAAACACAGAATATGAGGGCAGTAATGGCTTGTATGACTTGCTAATATGTTAAGCTGGTCAATTTTGAAACCAATGGCTCTTGTCTAGATTGTTGCAAGCCTATATGAGTTATGTGACTTTAAAATGAAAAAGATATATTTATGCCTGGTGGGTAGCTGTGGCATGTGGGTATTATATGTGAGTTTGACTTGTTTCCCAGATGAGTTGGACAGGGGCTATAAATTATCTTTTTATCTCCAGTTTTATCTTATCGAATTCCAGGCTATGCCTATGGTGTTATGTACCACATTTGTGGTCTGTCAAGTGCCTCACCCATGGTCTCTGGTGCCTCCACTGTTGTTGGCTGGAGCTGTTTAACAACACCCCCAATCAACCCACGTGTTCATTGCTAGTGAATGGAACTCAGTGACAGTTGTCACAACACCAAACCATCACCCTCCATCTTCATCCTGCAGTCAGTCCTCACCACCAACACCTCACCTGGCTGTGAGTCAATCCTCACCACCAGCACCTCACCTGGCTATTAGTCAGTCCTCACCACCAGCACCTCACCTGGCTGTGAGTCAATCCTCACCACCAGCACCTCACCTGGCCGTGAGTCAGTCCTCACCACCAGCACCTCACCTGGCCATGAGTCAGTCCGCACCACCAACACCTCACCTGGCCATGAGTCTCCTCACTGCCAGCGCTGTCCCACGAGCTCCAGTCGTCCTCCACCACCAACACCTCACCTGGCCATGAGTCTCCTCACTGCCAGCGCTGTCCCACGAGCTCCAGTCGTCCTCCACCACCAGCACCCGGTCTGACCATGCGCGCGTGCCGGCAGCCGCCCGGCGCCGGTTCTACCGGTCGGTGGGTGTGGCCGGCGCCGACGGCCAGTTCGAGGTGAGCCTGGACCAGCGCAAGCTGAAGACGCCCGGCGGCCGCCTGCTGCAGCTGCCCAGCCGGCCTCTGGCGCTGGCCGTGGCACACGAGTGGGAGACTGTGGCCGAGCACATCCAGACCAGTCAGATGCACGTGGTGAGCTCCAGGGCGACAACATTGGCCGCCGGCCATTTTTGTTAATCTCAAATACCTTGCCTCTGTAACCGAAATAGGGACAACCACATGGATGTCACTCTAACCAGACGTTTCAAATCGATGTGGATGGCCACTCTAGAATTATGGCATCTGAGGTGACAGTTACCAGTATTTGTTCCGGACCACTCAGTGCGCGTGGCTCAGTCGACTGTGTCCGGAGCACGCGGTGTCATTCCGTCGGCTGTGTCCAGAGCACACCGTGTCGCTCCGTCGGTTGTGTCGGGAGCACGCCGTGTCGTTCCGTTGGCTGTGTCCGGAGCACGCAGTGTCGTTCCGTTGGCTGTGTCCGGAGCACGCCGTGTCGTTCCGTCGGTTGTGTCGGGATCACTCCGTGTTGTTCCTTCGACTGTGTCGGGAGCACGCAGTTTTGTTCCGTTGGCTGTGTCCGGAGCACACCGTGTCGCTCCGTCGGTTGTGTCGGGAGCACGCCGTGTCGTTCCGTTGGCTGTGTCCGGAGCACGCAGTGTCGTTCCGTTGGCTGTGTCCGGAGCACGCCGTGTCGTTCCGTCGGTTGTGTCGGGATCACTCCGTGTTGTTCCTTCGACTGTGTCGGGAGCACGCAGTTTTGTTCCGTTGGCTGTGTCCGGAGCACGCCGTGTCGTTCCGTCGGCTGTGTCGGGAGCACGCCGTGTCGGTGTCGATGGCGGCCGGCCGGCGGTCGGTGTACCGCCCCGACCTGCCTCACCGCGTCCCTCGCGCCGCCGGCAGACGGGCCTCTGCTTCACCGTGCTGGACAACCCACACCGGAGGACGGACGTCGACCTGGCGCGCAAGATCGCCGGCTACCTCGACACCGACACCGTCCTCTTCCCTGTCGAGGTCAGCCGGGCCGCCCCCTCTGCCACCCGAAGCAGGGGGAGGCTGCTGTCGTCGTTAGTGGGGACGGCTGGTGTAGCTGGTTTGGTGGAGCGTTCGCCCGGGGCCGCGCGCAGAGGTTGCGTGCCGCTGGCAGTGTCGTTGCTTGCCGTCGTGATCTGCGTGATAAATTGCCGCGCTGAATCAGCTTGGATGCTCCGTTAAACCCATAAAATTATTAGCACTGTTGCCGCCTGAAGTCTCTTTTCAAGCCCTGATTTGATGTTTTTTTGTTGTGAGCACAATGTTACCAGCACGTTTCGGAATTTAAACTTGATTTAAACGTTGATCTAAGAGTTTAACCCAACTTTCCCGCCACTATGAGGCTGGCCATCCACCGCGATTGATAACTTCATGATAACTTCACGAGAAGCGCCAGCTCGCCGTCGCACGCCACCACATGTCAATGCGTGGTGGGTGGGCCACACGTATGATGTCACAATGAAGTTACTCCGCCGCAGCTGCCGGCAGAGCTGGCCGAGATCCAGCGTCGCGAGTGGGGCGCCGTGCTGCAGTGGCTACGTCACCGGTTCGACGTTGCTATCGAGCCGTCCGAGCCCGGCTCCCTGGTCTCCACCGTGCCGCCGGAGACGGCGGAGACGCTGCAGGTACGGCGGCGGCGGGGAGGGGGACGCTGGGACACGTTCCTGGAGCTGTGACGCGGGTGTTGACCTGTGGGGGTGCGCCGGCGGCCCGGAGGTGCGGCGGCGTTGTGGTGGTGACGCTCTCAGGGTGTCGGTGCGGCCCGGATGATGTGGCGGGCGCGGTGCTGCGCCGTCGGAGAGGGGTGGTGGCTGCGGATGCTGTGCGCGTCCGCCGATGTTGTCCCGTGTGGACGGACCGACTGGCGCGCAAGGCCGTTGGTTACTGGGCGAGGTGTTGTCTGATGACAAGACTGGATAAGTATGCGTTTTCTGCTTTTGGTATGGAGCTTAATAAGTCGTGGAAGATCGACTGAGGGTACAGTACATGGTGTTGTGCCTGTGATTGGTTTCACGCGTGCAGCTGGAGTCTGGTAAAGGCAGGCGAACTTTTCATATCCGGAGCTATCACGCTGTCGTCGAAGGTCAGTTGTGGCACTCTATGGAATGTATTGCTCCGTTTGATATATTATTAGATTCTATGATAACTCAACAAATGCTTAAATTATACGCTGAGCCATTTGTAGTGGATAAAGATCACTGTAGTTCCTTTGGTATCAATCGTCACTCTTGCGACGAGTCTTCAGGTCAACAAAGCTGGATATCCGGCCTCTCCGCGTCACGGCTCGTGCGTCGCAGTTACACGTCTTGCGGTGCCCGGCGGCTGCGCCGCGCCGCCCCAGCTGGTGTTGTCTTTCATTCTGTTGGATCGTGCCGAACCGCGCCACACTGTGCCGCCAGCAGGGGTGTGTCAAACTGTGACGCCGTCGTGCTGTTCTCTGTTTTGGTCAGCATTGTGGTCATTATGGGTTATACTATACTGCTGTCATCAGCTATTCTCTGTTTTGGTCAGCGTTGTGGTCATTATGGGTTATACTATACTGCTGTCATCAGCTATTCTCTGTTTTGGATAGCGTTGTGGTCAGTGTGCCATACTATACTGCTGTCGTCATCTGTTCTCTGTTTTGGTTGGCATTATCAGTGTGTCATACTATGCTGCTGTCATGAGCTGTTCTCTGTTTTGGTCAGCATTGTGGTCAGTGTGTCATAATATGCTGCTGCCATCAGCTGCTTTCTGTTTTGGTCAGCATGGTCAGTGTGTCATACTATGCGGCTGTCGTCAGCTGTTCTCTGTTTTGGTTAGCATTGTGGTCAGTGTGTCATAATATGCTGCTGTCATCAGCTGTTTTCTGTTTTGGTCAGTGTTGTGGTCAGTGTGTCATACTATGGTGCTGTCTTCGGCTGTTTTCTGTTTTGGTCAGCATTGTCAGTGTGTCATACCATGCTGCTGCCATCAGCTGTTCTCTGTTTTGGTCAGCATTATCAGTGTGTCATACTATGCTGCTGTCGTCGCTGTTTTCTGTTTTGGTCAGCATTGTGGTCAGTGTGTCATACTATGCTGCTGTCGTCAGCTGTTTCTACCGGCGTCGCTGTCAGCACCCGTCATGCTGTGTTGTCCCTCTGACCTTCTCCGGCTGTCCGCAGCGGTATCTCTCCACACACAACACGTGGGCCCTGACCGGTCTGCTGTTTGCCATCGAAGCCGTCCGGTCGACGGTGCTGCCTCTGGCGGCGCTGGAGCGCAAGCTCTCGCCGCAGGAGGTGGTACGGCTCTCCAGGCTGGAGGCCGACTATCAGGTGCGCAGGAGACGGAGCGCCGGCGGCCATGCGGTCACGTGCCGCCGACTCAGGGCTGCCGCAAACCATCTGCTCTTGGCCAGTTACCTCAAACGCAAGGGTATAAAGCATAATAGGCGCATTTAAGTTTCGTGATGTCGGCGTGCTATGATCAAACCCAATTTGCTGAACTGTTAGCCGAAATGTAGTTGGTGCCTTTCTAGTCGCCCTTTTAAAAACTGATAAGGGGTGTAAGATTTTTGAGAGCTGTAAAGGTGGCCTGCGCGGGACGGGTGTTGTGCAGCGTGCAGGGGTCTGGCCGGCCCCCGTCTCCCGTGCTGCATGGACGCCGTACGACCATTGAAGTGCGTGCGCCCGAAAGCCCAAATTATCGCCCTGTGCCATGCCGCCGTCCCGTGTCTTTGCGCCTCTGGTCTGACGGGTGGCCGTCTCCCGTGCCTCAGTCCCGTGTCTGTGCGCCTCCGGTCTGACGGGCGGCCGTCTCCCGTGCCTCAGTCCCGTGTCTGTGCGCCTCTGGTCTGACGGGCGGCCGTCTCCCGTGCCGTAGCCCCTCGTCTTTGCGCCTCTGGTCTGACGGGTGGCCGTCTCCCGTGCCGTAGCCCCTCGTCTTTGCGCCTCTGGTCTGACGGGCGGCCGTTTCCCGTGCCTCAGTCCCGTGTCTGTGCGCCTCCGGTCTGACGGGCGGCCATCTCCCGTGCCTCAGTCCCGTGTCTGTGCGCCTCTGGTCTGACTGGCGGCCGTCTCCCGTGCCGTAGCCCATCGTCTTTGCGCCTCTGGTCTGACGGGCGGTCGTCTCCCGTGCCGCAGGCGCGGGTCTGGGGACGAGTGGAGTGGGCGCACGACGTGGACTGCCTGGACACGGAGGCGCGCGTCTCTGCCGGCCTGCTGCTCGCCCACCTCTGCACGGCCACGTCACACTCGGTCCGACAGAAGGAGCGCTCGGCCTGACTGCTCCGACCCCCCCCCCCCCCGCTGTCCGGCCCGGCTGGCGCTCTGGCGGCGTATGACGCCCCCCCCCCCGGTCTGACCTCGTCTGACCCTGCCTGACCCGGTGCGCCGCCGGCTGCGGTGGTGGAGGGCGCCGGGAGAGTGGTGGACGGGTTCTAGGCCAGAGCGGGGGCCGGAGCGTCCTGGTGGTCCCGTACGGGAGTGTGTGTTCCGTGTCTCTGCGCCTGACACACTCCGTGCTCGGGGTCAGGTTTATTACACGGCGTTCACGGCTGAATCGCGTACAATAAATAGTGTTACAATGTGCACTACATTGTGCTCCTTTCGAAGCAAACATTCAACAATGGTGACGGCCGCGTGCCGCCGTCTCGGCCGCTGCACATGTTGAGGTCATGGAGTCAACTGGGGCCGCGACCCCGCGACGTCAGACGGTCGGTGACATCCAACGCAGGGAAACACGGAACGCGAGCCTTGGAAACGGACAGATTCGTCTTGCACGTCACCTAGCAGGAAAGACCATGAACAAAGACTTCAGGTGTACAACTTATATTATGGAAGACGCAAGGAATGTTTGGCCTCTTTGTGGATTTAGTCGCAGTCCGACATGGTCGCGGGGCGTGGCCGGCCTGGAGCAGAGGCCTGATCGCGAACTTTATGAAATCTCCCACACGTCACGCCACGGTCGGTGGCGATCCGGACGTCTGCGTCCAGGCCGTCGGAGACCATTCGCAGGTCGCTGTAGTCACACTGTCACCCACTGCAGTCACACTGTCGCCACACTGTAGTCGCACTGTCCTCTCACTCTCGCCCTTCGGAGCGATGGACGCTTCGTGCGAGAGTTTCTGTTTGGTACAACAGCCTCTTTTGCGAATCGGCATCTATTCCTTGATCACTTCGATGTAGTCCTCGGCCTCGATACCCTCCGCCCTCTTCCTACTCCGCGCCTGGATGCCAGTGTACGGCCGGTACGCAGTGATGGACTGAATCCAGGGCAGGTACTCGTTCACCTGGCGGAAAGGGAGCGTGGTCACCGAGCTGAACACGAGGGAAATCTGTCGGTCTCGCATGGTGAGTCCTCGCAAAACCCCGCAAAGCTCTGGTGGCAAGTTCTCGCAAAGCTCGGCAAGGATGGCAAGTGGCGCGGCACGGCGCGGTGGCAAGTTCTCGCAAAACTCCGCAAGGATGGCAAGTGGCACGGCACGGCGCGGTGGCAAGTTCTCGCAAAACTCCGCATGGTTCTGGTGGTGAGTTCTCGCAGAGCCTGCAAGGCTTTGGTGGCGAGTTCTCGCAGAGCCCCGCAAATCACGCACGCGCTTGAATCCGAAACGTCAAAGTGTTGACATCGCCGTAAAGATATGGTACTTCTGGGTGCTCCTTTTGTAACAACGTTGGCTAAGCGGCATCGTTTCTTACCGTGTCCTCGGACAAATTTGGGAGCATACGGGTGAAACATTACACGACATTGAAACATCATGAAACATTGCTACATGTTCTTTGTGTGTAACGCTGCATATCACACGGCTTCAGCGGCAGCATGCATCAGCGTGGCTTTTACGCCGGTTTGGGGCCAGCTCCAAAACCGCCTGCCACAGGCTGCTGCGCTGTCGCTATGACGCGTCGAGATTGTCCGGCGGAGGTCGGTAGCCCGCGGCGGCCGCGGTACGCACCTTGACATAGACGCCGGGCACGTCTCGCTGGCCGCAGCCGACGCCCCAGGACACGATGCCGGCGAGGTAGTAGGAGCCGGCCTGCTCGCACACAAGCGGTCCGCCGCCGTCTCCCTGCCGGTCACGGGTCAGAGGTCAGAGCACGCCAGGGCAGGGGTCAAGCGGGGCCCGAGGCTGGGCAGACCAGCAGACCAGCAGACCAGGCCAGCAGAGTTTTCAGGACGCGGCTCAGCGTCCGGGTCTCAATCAGCATGAGAGACCCCGCCAGCGTAACCTGACCTCTGACCTCTCACGGATCGGATCTTCCAGATCTGGACGCACGACAGCCGCGAGGGTGCGGTAGCATTTTCTCGTAGTTTTCTGGTTAGGAACTCCGGCAGGCTATGCTGGCCGCACAGCCGGCACCATGGTGGCGCGCCGGGGCGGCCCGAGGCCTGCCGAGTCGGAGCGACCCGAGGTCCACCGAGTCGGAGCAACCCGAGGCCTGCTGAGTCGGAGCGGCCCGAGGCCTGCCGAGTCGGAGCGACCCGAGGCTTACCGAGTCGGAGTGACCCGAGGCCTGCCGAGTCGGAGTGGCCCGAGGCATGCCGAGTCGGAGCGACCCGAAGCCTGCCGAGTCGGAGCGGCCCGAGGCCTGCTGAGTCGGAGCGACCCGAGGCCTACCGGCTCGGAGCGGCCCGAGGCCTACCGGCTCGGAGCGGCCCGAGGCCTACCGGCTCGGAGCGGCCCGAGGCCTACCGGGTCGGAGTGGCCCGAGGCTGCGAGCGAGCGGGTGGCGTGCTGGCTCACCTTGCAGGCGTCCTTTCCCTCCTCTCCGCCGGCGCACAGGAAGCCACTGTGCAGCTGGAAGTCGTAGCCGAGCCGCGTGCGCTTCAGTTTTTGTTCGCAATCGTAGTTGCCCACCACTGGGACGGACACCTGGCGGCCGCGGGACGTAACATTAGTGTGTAGATGGCGGTAGCGGTGGTCCTGCCTGACACCGGCGGTTGGCGGTTTTGACTACCGCCTGGTGTTGTCGGTGCGTGAGTATGGATTGGTGCATGGCTTGAGGGTCAAAAATTATTCAAAGCTGTCACTTTCTCAGAAACACCGTCATGATTTGCTACACTTGTTAGCGTCTATAACGCGGTGTCGCCGAGAACGGGACCGTTGCCCCGGCCGGGACCGTGAAGCAGCAGAAGAGCCTCACCTTCTTCAGCACGTTCTGGAAGTTGCCGAAGTCTCCAAAGGCATCCTTTCCCCAGCCGGAGGTCCAGCAACGCTGGTTGGTGAAGTCGGCGTACTGTGGCGGGATGCACACCGGTCCCACGTGCAGACTGCGGCGGGGCAACGTCAGGTCAGGTCAGGTCAGCCTGAGAACGCCGTCCGCCAGGTCATAATCCAATCACTCGGGGAAGGAAACGGTGTCGTCAGCGCTAGACTATTGACTAGAAGCACGCATTCACGCTCGTGCCGCGTCCTTCCGCGTGTCGCAAGCCGCCCGTTTCCCTTTCGGTGGCTGTGCCAAACTGGGCGTGACTCCCCAGGCTTTGGCTGATTCGACAAGCTGGCGGCTTCCGACTGCCGCCCTCCCGCCACTCACTTGTACACGGTGTCGACGGGGCTGGCCAGCTTCAGGATGGCGATGTCGTTGTGCAGGTTGCCGCCGTAGAACTCCGGGTGGATGTAGATGCCCGACACGTCCTTCTCTACGTGCGGATAGAACTCGGTCTCGTGGTTGACGTCCCATTCACCCAGGCGAATGCGCAGCGCGTACGGATCGTAACTGAAAAGAACCGGACTGATAAAAGAACCATGCAGCGGGGTCGTAATTGAAAAGGACTGAACTTATCAGCGAGGTACGTCGATCTGGGCTCACCGAAGCCTCTTGCCGGTCGGTGGATAATGCGGGCCATGTACTGGGCTGTTCCTCACATTAGTTGCATCTGGGACGAGCCGTGTCGTCCTTGCACGCGCCTTGCATTTTGTATGTCTTCATGCTTTTTGGGGTATGTTTTGGAGCATCCTCTCTGCTGTTATATAGCCCATATCACGGGTGATTGTCTTGACTAGACCCAGAGCATCGAGTGCTCTCACAGATCCCTCCTGCCGATCGTACAAACCCGCTCCCCACACCCTATTTCAGTTGAGAGTTATTGGAGTTCTGCAGTGGGACGAACTGTGTGCTCCAGAACGTATTCAGCCTGCAAATGACTATCAAGGGCTGTGCTTTGCATGCGATATACCAGAAACGTTTCCTCTTTTGTCCTCGTAGTGTTACGAACTTTCTTCCGAAGATGTGGCGGCGCCGATAGGCGAGCGATTTCAGCCGGCTCGTACTCAGAGCGTACCTGAGGGCCGGTGCTGCCCCCAGGGGTAGCAGCGCCGATACGCGAGCGAGTTCAGTCGGCTCGTACTCAGAGCGTACCTGAGGGCCGGTGCTGCTCCCCAGGGGTAGCAGCGCCGATACGCGAGCGAGCTCAGCTGGCTCGTACTCAGCGTTTCTGAGGGCCGGTGTTGCTCCCCAGGGGTAGCAGCGTCGATACGCGAGCGATTTCAGCCGGCTGGTACTCAGGGCGTTCCTGAGGGCCGGTGCTGCTCGCCAGGGGTAGCAGCGCCGGCGTGCGCTCGGCTGTAAGCCTGACGCGGTGTTAACAGCCGTGACAGAGTGTATTCATACACCCGGTCACGGCCGTTAACACGGTCGTGGTGGGCGCACACTGGGCTATGCTTGGCGCGGCTAGGCCACGTTACTACCGCTGTGTCTGGGGTGATGCCGCCCGTTAACACCGCCGTGTCTGGGGCTATGCCGCCCGTTAACAGCCGTGTCTGGGGCGATGCCACCTGTTAACCGGCGGTGTGGGGAGCACGCCGGGCTCCATATCCCCAACCGCCCCCACCAGACGCCCGTTTGGGAGTGAAAGCAGCCGGTGGCGGCGGCGGGCCGCACTGGTGCATGTCGAAAGCACGACACTCCTACAGAGGCTGGGGAGGGACGTGGTGAGGCTTCACGCCGGCAAAGCAGGGAAGGGAAGTGGGGAGGCTTCGCACCGGGCGAAACAGGGGATGGGGGGGGGGGGTAGTTACACGTGTGCTGCTCACGAGTTCACCCATGTGTGTGCTGTTCTGCGAGACAGTATTGTTGTGTTTCAGGCGCTGGATATTGGGCAGAGGTGGTGGGTGGAGATGTCGTGCCATCGGTGAATGTACTTGTCAGTGCAAAACCGGCTTCCGCAACTTTCCCATGGGCCGGAGATTGAGATCAGGATACTTCAACCATGCACCAGTCCGGCTGCTGTTCTCCAGAGACTGAGAGAATGGCAATGTCGACACATGTTAATGACCGCGGGTGTACCCAATGGCGGT